GCGGTCCTGGCCATGCAGTATGGGGCATCAAGCGAGGACATTGCGCGCACCTGTCATGCCCACCCGACCATGAGCGAGGCCTTGAAGGAAGCGGCTATGGCGACTTATGATAAGCCCATTCACATTTAGGCATGATGGATAATTATTTTCTTGTCAATTTTCTTTTTCGTTCTCTTCTTTCCGGCTGTCACATGCTTTGCTCGATTTGAACTGAATTTATTATTTCGCTTTTTGTCCTTTCCCTTAATACCTACTTGTGGCATTCGTGGTAAAACTCGGTACTTGGAATGCTTTCTTCATTATAATGAGGTGATAAGGTCAGCAGTGTAAATTGAGCTTAATTTACCTGGCCGGGGTTTTTGTCAAAAAAAAAAAAAAAAAAAAAACTTATAGCTCTCATTACATCCAAAAGTAAAAATACTGATAAAATTACTTAATGTACAATATCAATTGGAGCTGGCTAATGAAAAATATAAAACACACTTAAGATACACATATTTTAACTAGAACTTTTAAATACATAATATATATATATATATGTATATATATATATATATATATTTCTTTAAAAGTGGGTATGTTAATCTTAAAATTTTTTAGTTCTACGAGATGATTGCTTAGCCTTCCCCACCCACCTACCCTTCCGGGGGAAGTGTTGAACGATTCCCGTGCAATAAAAGGTCTCAGTCCATTGGCCCCTAGAGAAGGCCTAGACAAGAGTTCTAGTTTCCTCCCCTCAGGTACCTTCTCTCCCTGCTCTAAGTCCGGTCAAGCAAGGCAAACCGGGATTCTTTCGTCTACTCTCCTTCTACCTTCCTCTCCTTTTGCATCGGGACCTGATCAATTACCTCTCTCCGAATTTCTATGACTGAACTTCGCTTTGCTTCCTTTGTATGGTCGAGTGATAGAAAGGAGCGTAGCTTACTGCGAATGCTTTCTTTCTATGAAATACTCTTCTAGAAAGATCTTTCGTCTTTTCCTTCACTTCAAAAAGTTTGTAACAACAAGAAAGTATAATCAGATGGCCAGGCTGTGTTTGGAGAGACATCCTTTAAGGACAAACTGAGTGGTCGACGGGATGCGGTAAAGAAAGATAGGGGGCATTGGATTAATTTACGAGGAAATGATCCCGATGGACAAGGGGAAGGTCCGAGCCGATCTCGACGAGAATGGGAGGTTCCAAAACGATTCGCAGAGGTGAGAAGCATTACAGAATCTCCAAGATGATTTTTGAAAAAAAAAATAAAATTTTTATTACTTTCTATCATTAATTTTTTTTTTAATTTTGAAATACTTCATATTTTTTCTACCATTTATTTTCAATGATGTTTGAGTTGACCAACATTCTGCAAATAAATTAAAAATAATATAATTATTTATATCGATATAAAATAATAAATATATATATATATCAATTCTAATTTAAAATAATAAATTAATCTAAAAGTATATTATATAATAAATTTATATTCAAGTTAAATCAATTTCATTAAGTATAAAATAACATAAAATAAAATTGTGGTATATTTTTTTTACAAAGATTTGAAACAATTCATATTAAAAAAAAAAGTAAAAAAAAGATGGATGTAAACTTATAACTATTCCCACGTTTTGGCTAGAGCGCCCAAAATCTGATATATATTTGACACGAGTTTGTCGTAATGCTGAAATTAAGGTGAATGCACCTTAGGGTACAAACGAAGCGAAGCAGAGTGAATTCATAGATAAAAGAAAAGGCTAAGCCAGGGAAGGGAAATGAGATAACATTAGCTATGTAAATAAATGAGCTGTACGTTAAATTAAGAGTTAATTACTGCTTTAAAAGGAACCTTATAATGGTGGTACCATATATGTATTCAGTGATTATGAAAATGACTTATGTTAACATCCGGATCGGTAAACCTGCATTAAGAAATTCCAGATGACTCAGTAGAAGGAAGATGATCATTGAACCGACGTTATTGCCAACCCCACCCCGGTTCAAGCGACAGACCGGACCGAACTACCGAAGACCGAGGTCAACATCCACCGAGAACAACATGAACGGAGGTCGTCACCTCCTTAAGCAGGTGACAAGGCACCTACGAGGGACTCTCCTGCTCCACAAGATCCGTCATCATTTATGTGGGACCCCCTGCCTCAAACCGCCCATAAAAAGCCACTTTATTCAAAAAAGTAGTACACGAATCCCCATGTATCAACCCGAAATTACTATAAATAGTACGCCCATGGCATTTGTACGGGGATCGATCTCTCTCCGAACTGAAAAAACTTTACTAAGCAACACGTAAAAGCCCATCACGGCTCTTCACCTCGGTTCACCTCGGACCGGGGCCATTGTAGAGTAAATCTTACATGCTTTACGTCCAAATCATTCACAATTATCCGCTTAATCATAAATTACATCGTTGTTAAGAATCAAATAACAACACTTCGTCGTAACGTTTCGAGTTCGGAAGACTCTTGACGAGCCCGATTCCTCTCAATATGCTGTCGAAGGTCAGTCTGCGCGGGATTGGAAGTGATTCGTTGTCGGGCCTGAGGTGGCGACCGTCGTGAATGTCCAGACTGACTTTCTGCGGTTTCTTCGCGAGGAAGTACGAGGGGGTTACGTCCAACGTCGGTGCGACGCGTAGTTTGTTCCAGAGGCGGTTGCGACATTCGATCACGAGGTTGAGATGTAACATGAGATGTTGTCCTTCCGCCGTCTTGTCGCGCCGGTGGATTCTGCTGGTTCGCGGGAGTCGTGGGAATGATGGAGTGTCCCGGAGCAGTCGTTGATGTTCCAGGAATCGTTTGGGACATTAGAGCGGCAAAACCACGTGCAAACTCTGGATTTTGAAACAGAACAGTATAATCTGGTACAGGGGGAGCTATGGCCTGTCGTCTGGCGGAGTGAGCAGCGTTGCGACTATGGCCATCTCGTGAAGTATTACCACGATTCTCTGAATGGGACATTATGGGTATGGCTGATCAAAATCGTTATGTGAGAGATGCGGAGATTAACCTCAAATTACTTATGAGGCCCTTCCTCTAGCGCCAAACTGTTGTTATATGATTCCTAACAACGATGTAACAAGTGATTAAGTTGATAATTACGAACGGTTTGGACGTAAAGCATGTAAAAAGAACTCAACAATGGTCCCGGTCCGAGGTGAACCGAGGTGAAGAGCCGTTATGGGCTTTTACGTGTTGCATGTAAATGAGTTCGGGGATCCCCCGTACAAGTGTTGTAGGAAGTCTATTTATAGCAACTTTTTTCGTACGTCTCGGGATTTGTGCATTATCTTTTTCATAAAGCTACTTTTCGATGGGCGGCAGGATCAGTGGGTCCCACGTGAATGATGACAAATCTCGTGAATTGTGATAGGGGTGAGTAGGCGCCTTGTCACCTGCTTTAGGAGGTGACGATCTCGGTTTAAGTGGACCTCGGTAGGTATCGGTCACTTCGGTCCTTGGTAGTTCGGACCGGTTCATTGCGTGGGCCAACGTGGCTTTGGATCACGTCGGTTCAATAGGTAATGTCAGTTAACAATGATGCTTAAAACTCCTTAATAATGTTTTTGCCGAGTTGGATGATAACACAGTTTTACATATATAATATATCAAATTAATCATCTTCTGATGAGCTTCGATTTAACATCCATATTGATGTATAAAAATAATAAATTATATTTATCTTTAAAATTTAAGAATATTTTTTTAACAGGCACTCGTGTAATACACATGTGTTATACTATTAAAGAACAATATATAACAATTTATAATAAATAACTAAGTGAATTAACAATATTGTTTTAAATTCTGAGAACTAATTTATATACATCATTAATTTATTTATAATACTTTTATTTATAATATTTTTGTTATTAATTTTTTTCTTATTTTATGATATATAATTGTAAGTTCTGAAGATTGGCAATAACTCGAAAAACCTTCATGAGTTCCCAGGTTCAGACAATCGCAAGAATATTTACGGGAAGTTGACTAGATCACTTGAACGTATTTTTATTTGGGTTTGTTATTGATAATGTGTGTTTATTATGGCAGGTCTAATGGAAGGAAGGCGGGATTCACCTTCCATGTATACGAGATAATGATCGCGGACTTGGACTAGAAAAAGAAGACCTATCATACTTAAACGTGTTGTTGTGTACAAATTATTTTTATTTTACCGAGCACCGAATCAAATGATTCGTTTTCCGGGTCGATCTCTCGAGGAAGACTGTTCGGAATTTAATATTGGTGTTGATAACACATAAAATGAAAATAAAGCCTAGACATTCTAATCATGATAGGGTTGGAAAATGATTAACTAAAATAGCAAATAAGAAATAACAAAAGACAATAGTCTAAATAAAAATATAAACGACACAAAGATAAAGATGCTAGGAAATCGGGAATAATCACTTCCAGTTCTACACACATTTAACGGCAATCAATAACTCGGTTAAGTGGTTCGACTAAC